AGGAAGGAAGGAAGGAAGGAAGGAGGGGAAGGGAGGGAGAGAGGAACAGAGACATGAAGGAAGAAAGGGGAGGGAGGGAAGGAAAGAGAGACAGACTCAGACATAGAGACAGACAGACCTGAAGGGAGAGACAGAGTCAGAAAGCCAGAGATTGAAAGAAGGTGAGGATAAATGAGAAAACAGCTTCAGAGGGAGGTCCCAATTCCTGCTCAACGGTGGCTCTGGACAAGCAGAAATGTTCTGTCTGGTTTCCTATGTAAAAGGCTCCAAAAGCTGCCCTCCTGCCTGCTTCCCTCCTTGCCCCCCATCTACCCCCTTCCCCCGCACAGTGACCGAGGCTGCAGGCACCCCCAAAGGACTTTCCACAAGGTGTTTGCTTCTCTTGGGGCATTCCTCTTCACCATGGACCCGTTGTAGATCTGAGGCCAGACCTGACTGCACTGGGAAATTATTTAAGCCCAGTGCCATGCACGTAGTAGACTTTCTCTCAATGTTTGATAAATGAAAAAGTAAATGACTTAGAAGATATAACAAATAGAATACTGTATACAAATCCAGATAACATCATCTAACCACAGAGCAAATTAATGAGAAAACAGGAAGGCCCTGGGGGCTCTGAGAAGCTCTGGGAGGCCCTGGAAGGCTCTGGGAGACCCTGGGAGGCTCTGGGAGGCTGTGGGAGGCTCTGGGGGCCCTGAGAGATGCTGGGGGGCCCTAGAAGGCTCTGGGGGGCCCTGGGATACCCTGGGAGGCTCTGGGGGGCCCTTGGAGACCCTGGAAAGCTCTTGGAGGTCTTGGGGGGCTCTGGGAGGTCCTGGGGGGTTCTGGGAGACCCTGGGAGGCTCTGAGAGGCTGCAGGAGACCCTGGGGGCCCTGGGAGATGCTGGGGGGCCCTAGAAGACTCTGGGGGGCCCTGGGACACCCTGGGAGGCTCTGGGGGCTGTAGGAGGCCCTGGGAGGCTCTGGGGGGCCCTAGAAGCAGCACCAGATTTGGAGCCTGAGGACCTGGGTTTAAATCTGGGCTCTTCCATGGGCACCTGGGTAACCTTTGGCCTAACCTTCAACTTCTCTGGGCCTCAGTTTCTTCCTCTGGAAAATGAGAAAGTGGCTTCCGAAGTCCCTTCTGGCTCAAAGCCCATGACCCTAGGAAATCTTATCAGATCAGTTGCCTCCCCGGCTAACTCTTGAGGTTGGAGGGTTATTCTAAGTATGCCCCCAATAAACAGGAAGGCTCTGGTTGGCTTCTGGGAAGAACAGCGCCTCAAAAAAGAAGAGTGTAGTTTACCTGAGGTCTGCTGGCCAGAGGGTAGGAAATCCAGTTGATCCAAGCCGTGTGGAAGCATCCCCCACCCGCCGTGGTCAGCTGTGCCCACAGTCATGAAGGCAGCTCTGACAAGGCCCCAGAACCCTTCCCCAACCCTTAGCTTGGGCAGAGCCAGGAGGTGAGCGCTAGAGGATGATGTTTTTGCTGTAGTTTATGTTGTCGATGATTTTCGTGGCGGGAGCCTGCTGCTTTCAAGCCACAGATCATCAGTAAGAGAGCTTTGGCACTGGTTGTCTCCAGGCCCCTGCTGCGGTCCCCTGCTTATCACTGGCTAACGCCAGAGCCGTAACTAGGAATTTGAGCACCCAGGTAAAGCAGCACCTCCAACTCCACTTTATAATTCAGTTAGGTGGTACCTGGACTCAGGTTAGACCTGAGCTCAGAAGCAGCCTCAGATACATACTAGCTGTGTGACCCTAGGCTAGTCATTTAACCTCTGCCCACCTCGGTTTTCTCAACTATAAAATGGGGATCATAATAGCACCTCCCTCCCATGGTTGTTATGAGGATTGAGATAATATCTCTAGAGTGTTTTGCAAATCTTAAAATGCTATATAAATGTTAGTTATTCATTTTAGAGGTAATTAAGGTAGATTAATTTAAATTAGAAGAGAGGCATCGGGGCAGGTAGGTGGTGCAGTGGATAGAGCTCAGGACTTGGAGTCAGGAGGACCTGAGTTCAAATATGGCCTCAGACACTTGACACTTACTAGCTGTGTGGCCCTGGGCAAGTCACTTAACCCTGATTGCCTCACCAAAAAGAAGAAAAAAAAAGAGAGAGAGAGACATCAGTACACTGCCCCTTATGGAAGAGATCTTGGATACTCGCCTTGTGGTGTGCAGGCCCCAGAGTGTGTGAGGCCACTGCTGCGGTAGAGGAGAGGTGGGGAGTGGAACCTAGGGAGGGCATGGCCAAAGAGGTGCTCCGAAGGGGTGCAGCTCCTTCGGAGAGAAGGTAAGCAATCCAGTAGCTCCCTAGTTTAATTATTCTTGCATTTTATACTTCTTAAGGAGTCTGATATTTTTACACTGTAGAGGAAACCAATGGAAGAATTGTTCAAACTTTCAAAATCATGATCGTACATTTTTCTCACCCTCTAGATGTCAGCGCCTGGAGCTAAGGGCTTGATCGGGGCACTGCAGTGGAGAGAGCACCGGCCCTGAATTCAGGAGGACCTGAGTTCAAATCCAGCCTCAGACACATAACACTGGCTAGCTGTGTGACCCTGGGCAAGTCACTTAGCCCCAATTGCCTCACAAAAAAGGAAAAAACAAACAAACAAACAAACAAACAAAGATAAGGGCTTGATCATCCCACCCCAGTTAAGTTTAGGCTGGCTTTAGATTCTCAGACTTTCGTGTCTCTCATCCATGAGCACCAAGAGCCTCTGAGTGCAGTGCTGTGCTAACTAGACCTTGTGGGGGTTGTGGAAGAAACGTGAGGCATGATCCCTGCTCGAAGGCCGTGCAAGTGTGGAGTGCCTTTCCCAGTCAGGCAGTCTGGGGCTCTGCATATCGGGAGCCCAAACATTCTGCTGGTGGAGAAAGCTCTGCATCTAAGTCAACTTCATTTGGAAGGGTGAATGGCACACGATGTGGGCAGCAAGCCCCCCAGGCCCTGAGCCCAGTGCCCGCGACAAGGGACCACGTTAAGCACGACAGCCAAGACATTGCCGACTCCATTCTCTCATCTGTGAGGAGAAAGAGGCTTTGCTGCGGCGTGAGCGTTAAGTTCTGGCCACAAGCCTATCTCTGACTCACGTCCTCCTTTAGCTCCAGAGCCTTCTGGCTGGTCCTGGCCTGCAGAGCCCAAAGTGGTTGCTGCTGACCTGGAAGTCTTCTTGGAGATGGGACAGGGCATCCTGCAAGTTCTTTGGTCTCAAAAGATGCTAACCCAGCAATTCAGGTCTGGTTTCCATAATGGTTTTCTGATTAGATGCATCCTGGGGAAAATACTCATCAAATGAGTGCTGGCAAGGATGGCCTTCTAAGTGACCGTTCCAACGAGGAGAAAGCTCTCAATATAACAAGACCCTAGAGAGAGCAGGACCAGGAGCCGGAGAGCCTGCCAGGATGACATCATGCTGTGTCTGACCTTCCTGGGGTAGGGCGAAAACCTCCCCAAGCCAGAAGGCTCTTTGGAGGAACTACAGAAGAAAGTGGGAAGGGCGTCTTCAGTGGGTGAACAGAGCGGAATCTGGCTCCTGCGTCTCCAGCATTATTCCACACTAGTCCACTTCCCGCGCTGGGCCGGTCAGCCACGATGACCTTCTGGCCATCGTTCCACCCAGTCATCCTCCTGGAACCCTTTGATGTCCCACGGGACACCCTCAAGCCCCACTTTCTACATGAAATCTTTGCTGATGCTCCCAACTGCCCTAACAGGCTCGTATGGAGCAGCGTGGGATTTCGTTGGTTTCACTCTCTTAGTACTTATTCTGCATATACGTAAACATCGTTGTTGTGCCCATTAGAGCCTAATGCTCTGAGTTTACACACCTTGTGAGTAAGAACTGCTCTTTATTGCATTTGTATCCCTGGGTCCTTGCACACCCCCTGGCACACAGTAAGCACTTAATAAATGCACGCTGATTGTGTCACCTGCCTTTCACCAGGATGCCATCAGAGACAGCTATCCTTTAAAGCTGCTGCTCAGACAGGCCTCAAAAGTGAAGTCATCAGACCCCGTGCATGGTCATCAGTGGCACTCCTTCCCTCTTGAGCTGTGAAGGACCCCTGGCACACTAGCCTATAGAGAGGT